TTCTGCCCTCTCTATCCCACGTACGATCTATCGCCTTTACTCGAACACATTCGACACTCGTTTCTTCCCTCTTTCTTTCTTTCTTTCTTTCGTCTCCTTCGTTCCCTTTAACCGTCTCTTCTCTTTACACGTTGCTTTCGGGATCGGTCTCTTTCCAATGCTTTTCTCTGTTCCTGCTGGTCACTGTAAAGCGGGCGGGGTATGCGAACGCCACGATACTATATTATGCCTGCGGACCGCGGGTCTGACATACTTTGTATGTTAATGCCACATAATGTCGGTTTTGTTCCTCTTTTCAGCATTTATTTGTTCGGGTCTTCGAAGCTTTAGCAGGGGCGCGCACGAACCATAGTTCGTACCGCGCCTCAATCGGGTATTTCGTGATCGAATTTAACGACTCGCTCTTCTTTTTTTTCCCCCTCTCCCCGCGTGAAAGATCCTTTGCCATCATTGACGAGCGCTTATCGAAATTGATCCGGAAGTGATACAGTATCTCAGATCGCTGGACTGACATTCATCCCACCAATATCGATTATATCGATACAAACAGCACGCCCACTCGTCGGCGAGTTAAATATAGAAATACTTTTAATCTGCTCGATGAAGAATTAAAAATTAAGCCACCTTTATCAGCTATCAGTGTTCAATCTTTCTGATGCTCCTGGAATTTCCAACACGTGGATCTGTCAAGATACGGTTCTCTTTCTTCTTTCTTTTTATTTTTTCATTTGAAGTGGAAATACGTCGAATCGACTCGAATTGCGTTGTATTTCGCGATCTAGGGAACTAGCGCATCAAAAGATCGCGCCAGAGCCGACGCAACTTTTCATCGTTGCGTAATTATGCAATTTGCGTAAGCCGCTACTAGTTTCAGCGAAATCCGGTTTTCCGATAACGAATCTCGTCAGAGATGATGCAAATTCTCGAACTTTAACTACCGGCCAACGGAGCTAGTTCGTCGTCTCTTTTTTCTTACGTAAAATTGCTGATTCAAGTACTACGTACAGACTTATAAATATTGGAATTCACACAACGATTACAGAAAATCACAAACCGTTAATGTTTAGTAGATACAGATGTCGAATAAAGATCCAATTCAATTGTTCTTATTGCATACTCAACTGTAACGTAGAGGCGGAATGCATCGGAAAATATAAAATAGAGTAGTTGCAGGTAACAAATAATTTTGAAATTAATTACCTCGAAGATGAATACCTTGTTTAAAGTAGAATTAGATTAAAAAGACGCGCAATAAAAGTATTAAACTATCTTGGTCAAAATACGATCTGATTGCCTTATCGCAGGTTATGTTTGAAGAAAATGCGACCGAAGGTGTAAATTTGGCGGGAGATTAGAGACATCTTCTGTCCCAAAGAGGTAACTGTCATAAATTTCTCAGCGGACGAATTAACCGACGGTGGCGGTCTCTGGCAACAATTACCGAGAGTACCAGCATAACCCGGCCAGATGCTGCATGTATGTAATATAGACCTGTTGGAACGCGATCCCGCGTTGACAGGTGATCCAGTCGCGGAATTGCCTCTCGCATCGGGCGCATCTCTCACGGTGTTCGTGAGCAAAGTGCCTTGCCGTTGATGTTTCGCTAGCACACGGTCGACTGCGACGACACGGAGAGAGAGAGCAGGAGGAGAGTCGAACGACAAAGGGAGCAAGCGAAAGAGAAGCGAGGTACCGGCAGAGCAGCAACACAGAAGCGGCAGAGGGAACGGCAGTAGCGAGTGCAAACGCAAGAGCGCCCTCGCTTGCTCCCGCGCTTGCGATGCAAAGACGGGATATAAATAAGCGGCTGTCGTTTGCGGAAGCAGAAAACGGGCAAAAGGACAGAAATAAAGAAGAAGTCGCAGAAGAAAGGGAGGCAGTGACAGAGAGAGGAATAAATAAGCCCGGGGGCCGTGGAGAGGACGAGGCAAAAGTAGGAGCTGGAGCAGTAGCAACAGGCAGCAGCAACCGGCAACGGTTCCACCGTTCACTCCCTCTTGCCGCTTCGACGGCCAACGACGTCCCGATCTACTACTTTCGCGGTGTACGACCGTCCTCGCATTGAAAACTTTTCAGCCTGTGTCCTGTGCCTCCTCTACGAACGCGGCAGGTGTACTTCTGTCTCGTTATCCGGAAGGCCTCTTCCTCTACACGACAGCGACGCGTTCGAGTAGAAGTCGTAGATCACTTCGAGGATGTTTCGAATGGATTTTAAAGGACAAGTGATTTTGTCGTGGGAGGAACGGGACGGCAGATCCATTTAACGATCTCCGTAACATTAATGAATGTATTAGGGCGGTAAATGAAAGAGTAGCCGGGATAAAGGGGAGAGTTGCATGCCTTTCAACGAACCTTTCAACGATTCCGCGCGTGTAGGTTAGGCGCGAATCTTAGTTTAGGTTAGAAAAAAGAATATAAGACGAGACGATAGTTATGTATAAATTTCTCTCGTAGGTGGATGTTTTCTACCATGCTCTCTGTGTAACCAGGGAAGAGGAACGGTGTTCTTCCGGTGTTGCTGCGTTTCTAGAAATCCCCAGCCTCGGCGCTTGGGATCTGCCGGGTATCGCGGCGAGTTATCCACGACCGGATCTAGATACTATTCATGCTAAGCCGCATATCTGCATACGCATCGAGACACTTTTCGAAAGCACGTTACGCAGCAGCGCAGTGGCACCACGTGCATCCTCGAGAGGCAACCTGCATCCTTGCTGTGTGTACGAGGCGACTCTCGCATGTACACACGTACACACGTACACACGTTGGCCGTATGCTCGCTGTGAAACAGAACACAACAGAACAGAACAGAACAGAACAGAACAGAAGAGAGCAGAACGGAACGGAACGGAGCAGAGCGGAACCGAATGAAACGGAACAGAAGCGAACGCAGTAGAGAAGCGCAGGCTGACTGCGCGGCCGCAGCATGTTTATTGGCGCATCTTGGAGTCTTAAATCTTTATGTTGTCTCCTCGACGGGGTCTGCTATCTCCCTGTCCCATTGGCGGGACGGGAGGAGAAGGGGGAATCGGCACAACCGCGGAAGGGGTGAGAGGGACGGGAACAAAGAGGGAACGAATCGGCACGGCCGTATGTAAGCGAGACGCAGGAACGGATGAGTAACAAAAAGAAACGAAAAGAGGCTAGGGAAGGAACGAGAGGGAAGGAAATCGGAGGGAGAGATATATCTCTTGAGTTGCGGTCGCGAAATCGAGTCAAGAGTCGGACAACCAACGACCAAGACGCATCCACTGCATTACGCACACAGAAGCCGCGATCTTAACGTGCCTCTAGAAATGGTCGTTTGCAGTTGTACAGAGGAAACCCACGTGGTAAAGGTACCCAGGCAGGAATTATTAATGGCCGTAGGTGTTACGAGCGCGAAGATTGCCGCTTTTAGCCAGATGTGATAGAAATTGCGTCATATCAGATTGACTCAACGCGCACCCCTTCTATACTCTGCAATGTCTTTCGCACTTTTGCAATTGACGTCAGATTGTAAATTTAGGCGAATTATTATATTTCTTCTAGTTATTGTCATTCGATTCGCTCGTGACAAAAGATGACTCTTATCCATGCAAAGAAGAAGTATTTGAGCATCTTCAGTATTTGTTCAATACGTTAATTCCTTTAAACGAGATGTTCATCGTGTTGATACAATTGCTGTGAGTGCATTTGTAATAACGTCACGGGAAAATTACGATCTAATTAAATTATTAACTCGCAACAATAATTGATTTTTATTCAACAATGAGTAGAACAAATACAGATTTCATCGTGTTTCAGGCTATACAAATGCGTCATTATCTGAAAAAAAAATCTCAAAATTCGACACGTTCTATGAGCTTCGTAATTAATTATTATGGTAAAAAACATTCGTCTTGGTTAAATTGAAAAAAAAAGAAATTGAATTTTAATTCTGATAAGAAAACTAAACTCAACAGAAGATATCGATTAATTTGTTCACAGAAATTGAACTGCGCTCGTTGATAAAAGGAAATGGTTAACATTTTTCGTTAATTAACAAGGGGAAGTGGAATGTACTGCGCGGATAATGGTTTCTAGACGGTCCGTAATAATGGTCGTGGAATCTCGTAAAATGCAATTAATTACGAAATCAATATACCGCACCGATCTTTATGAATAATATCATCGTTTTTAATCAACTGGCGAAACACGTTGAAGTAAAAATTTATAAGCCTGATTAATTATCCGTTCTATGAAGCGTGAAATCAGTATTATTTAATGATACGTTGAAGTAAAAAATTTACAGGCTCGATTAGTTATTCATTTTAAGACACGAAGTTACTGTCATTTCAAAATCGTGATTTATATTTAGTGGTAATATGAAATACGAATAAAGAGATCGATGCAAAAATTTCTGAATTATTGCAGCGAGGAAGACGTCAAGCTGAAAACCACTGTTTCGGTAGGGGGTGTCTGTTACCATCTCTGACGAACGTTGTACGACTCCCACATGTGTACGCATGCACGCACGGACTATTGCTGTATTTACTGTACGTGCAGTTCCTATTCCCGGTACGTGAAGAAACGTGGGCGTGAAGGTACTTTCGGTGCCTTGCCGCTGACATAACAGTGGGTAAGAAACCAACAACGATAGAGTGTTATCAGCAACGTCGAAGGCAGTGTTAAGTTTATGGCTGATACGTGCCGTTTATCGGTCTATGCTACGTTTAGTTAATTAAACGGCGCTGCAAACACGTCCTGATACCATCAAGGAAATATACACATCACGAGCCAATGTGAAAGACGCGTGGAAAATGGAAAAAGGGAATGAGAAGAAGGGAGAGCAACTTGCGGTCACTGAGCGGCGCTATGAATAAATGCGCTGGGATTTCCCCTTAATTTACAAGAGGTGGCGCCACTGCAACATAAGCAGTGACAACTGATCGATATTAAGATTTGATTGAACTAAAGAATATAATCTCCGTGACTTCGTGATTATCGTATTACACAGTTACTTCTTATTTTGATAGAAGGTTCTCATCAAAAAATTGATTACACCAGTCCCTCGACTTGCGTTGTCACGGTGTTTATTATATTCGTGCATGTTACTTAATTACACGTGCTAATTATATCACTCCTTGCAGTGAGCAGGGATCTTATATTACACACAATGGATATCGTGAAGAAGAAAGAACGAAGCGAAGGGTTGATGTAGCCAGGAAGAAATTCCTGGCATCGAGGGCCGTGCGCGCGCGGCGGACTTTGACGATCCCCTAAGTGAAATATCATTGACAATCACTCACGTGAGATCTTTATCGGCTGGTAACGTGATCTCTGACCCTACCAAACTCGGGAGCAGTTTTATGCGAGCTCCCGCGGCGCGTGAATATACACCCAGTGGGTGCTGTTGCTCCGCGGTGGAAGAACCCGGTGAGATCGTTGGAAGATCGTTGGAAGATCGAGGCAGGAATGTAACGCGGCCCGTGAGCCTCGGGATGGCAATGGAATCACAGAAAAGTATTCGGCCGGGTTCGCGTGGAAGCCACGGTACGGCGTTCCGCACGCAGGAACGCGACTGCCAATAAATAAGCTTCGGCATTTCGCGCGCGATTCGCGCGTCTTATCGAGCCACTCGAGCCGCTGCTAAGGACGGGCTCACTTCCGATCCAGTCGATCGCATCGATGCCCCTTATCTGCGTACACAGCAACACCGGTGGAGAGCTCCTCCATTTCGACAAAACGAAATCGACGACCGAACCCCTCTGGAAATTATGCGAGAACGTTCGTACTTTGTTCGTTGCACGAACTTGAGTGTCGAGCGCGAGTAAATTGATGGCACAACGTGAAGAAAGTTGTATCGGTATTTTGCATATTGTCGCGGTGGATATTTATTCTTCCAAGGCGAAAGAAGAGTATAATGGTACGAGAACGAGATGTAGTTTGAATATACTTTTCAACACTGCAACAACCGATGGCTACTGTAGCGTCGTGTGATTTCCATCTATTGGAATTGGACGAACTAAAAGAATTGAGAAATTATTCAGTCCCGTGAATTCTTAACACTTTTAAATTATTCCCGAAAACAACCGATTATTATAGTATTAATAGCTGTTAGTAGTAGAAAACGATTATGTTGTCTGTAATTGCAGTATCATTTATTTAAACAACTCTGGAATTATTTAAGTGTACAAGTGTGAAATATTTTTATACGAGCGGAGAAACTATTGTATAAAAAGTGGAGAGCAAGCAATATTCCAGAGAAAGAAGAAAGAATATGGCATAGAGGTCAGAACCTAGAATACTTCATGAAGGAAAAGTGTAAAGGAATGATTATCATATAACAAATCATTAAAGAATACAGACGTCGGTCATGTAAATAGGAGACAGAATAAAAAATCATGGAAAATGCTCTACAAATAGAACAATGTCAATGTCTTCAATAATAAAATATATCTTCAATCAACACCACAATATCACATAATTCTAGAACTCTAAATCTCCAAAACTCTACGGAACAATAACAATGGTATATATTAATAATTTCATTTTATTTTACTTGATTATCATTAGACTGCAGATTTTTATGGAATTTTATATTTTTATAAGCGCAACTAAAGAAATCGCTTCTAAATAGGAATTTCTTTCACCTATTAAATATTATAATAAATATTACATCAAGTGTTTCAGATATTTCGTACACTTTTACATATTACGTATATACAAAAGTGTTTAAACATCCGAAGTCTGATCGTCGTTAATGTAACATCTCTTACGCGCAGGAACACTCAAACCCAGAATTACCGTGTTTTTTTTCTTCTCTTTTTTCTCGTAGAGGAAACGGGCCGACGTTTCTGGAAAGACACCGGCGCGTTTCGAAAGATGATAATTACGCTTTTACGGTACACGGCCAAATCTACATTGTGTCTACGAGGCGAGTTCTCTCGCGGCAAGACGTAGGAAATCGCGCAATACTTTTAGGCTCCCCGGTACACACGTTGCGAAAAAGTGAAATGTGTTGTACCATTGCGTTTCCATTGTTGTGTTCAGAGGAGACGTAAAACGGGGCAAGGTTGAATCTCCGATTGCCTGAAAAATTCCCACATCGTACGAGCCTACTAGCTCCGAATTTTGCTATACGTTACTCCACTTACGCGATTTCTTACGTATACTCATCACCCTTGATCCTAGCGTTTGCATCTGAAACATTTCCTATCTAACAAAGAAAATACATACATTTTGGCCAGAATATTTAGAATATTTTTAATGGCGCTATGTAACATTTAAATAATTGTAAAGATTCTTTTTATCATAATCAATGATCCCAGTCTCCGTTTTGACAACAAAAGAAGCAGGATTGTACCTAAACACGAACGATGATTATCAAGAGGAAATCTCTCAATAAGCAGAGGAAGATTATCGACTAAATAGCGAATTAAATCACGCCACTTGGAATTACCAGTTGGCAACTCGAATCGAGTCGAATTAACGCCGATAATCTCTTCCAACAGGGAAGTAAGTATCATTATAATAATAAGCCGCGCACACGTACGAGATTACGCAATCATATGCCTTTCAGAGCCATACGTTGGAGTTGGAGTTGGAGTATCGATATCAGTGGTGGGACGTCCGCGAGACGCAAAAACACGAGGAACAGGTAGGATCGATGGTTGAATTACGCCGATGAAATGAAAAGGGAAGATCGTCCGGGGGAGATAAAATTACGAGTACGAATAAAGAGCGGTGAGACGGTTCCAAAATGACTGGCAGAAGCGTCTGAATGGGCTCCGGTTGTCCGGACGTGGTCGATCCAGCGGCATTCCAGCGGCAGAGAGCTCGGTGCTTACGGTGACGAGCGAAAGAGCAACGACGCGTTTCCCATTGTGAAAATCGCCCGGTGGTATGGTTCTGTCTCCTCTAGGGAGGGGCTCGGAGGATTCCTCTCTGACCTCTCGTCTCTCCCTCTCTCTCTATGCGTCTGCTTTAATTACGTTTGTCATTTCGTAGCCTGGTGTCTCATTACGAAGAAAGTTTCGAGGAGAGTTCAACTCTGGCTGCTTGCGAACCTAGGTGGCCTCTTTCTGGTAACGGCACTAACCAACCCAACCAGACAGCCAACAACAACAACGACGACGAAGAAACGAACGAACGAACCGACCAACCGACCAACCAGTCATGAGCCCCCTTTTACCTTACGTATAGCCCTCCGCGTGCCTCTCTTCGCATCGCCGCTCTAGATCTTCGGATAAGAGCGAACACCATTTTAGCGGTTCCTTACACACCAGACATCCGTTCCCTTCCTATATATACGTGGTGGCTACGAGAGAGCTGGCTCGCTGCATTTTCTCCGCGCGAATGTGTCAAGCGACTGGGAAACAGACAGAGACGGAGAAGGCGGATCGTGGAAGACGGGCGAGAAGGGAGGAGGGGAGGGAGAGATGGCGGGCAGAAAAGGACAAAGAGGTCGAATGGGACGGGAGAGGGAGAGGGAAAGAGGAGGCACACCGGGGAGTAAGATATAGGCGTGAGAGAGAAACGTAGAGAGGAACGCAGAGGTGGATCGAGAAAGAGGGAAAGATATGGGCATGTCAGCCGAAACCTTCTAATCCCACGTACAGGTGCGTTAATTTGTTACGTGAGACCGGCGGAGGAGGAAGCAGAAAACGGGATACTGTACCGTTTTCCGTGATAACGAATAAGGGTTTCGTCGTCTCCCTCTTCTTCCTTCTCTGTTGCTCCTTCGTTCGCGTAATTAAACGTTGTGTTAAGTATTCGCCGCGAAACGACAACGTTTACACGATACGGGAAAGAATGAAAAATGAACGCTCACTTGGAGCGAGCCTTCGGCAGACTTCGATGCTTCGCGTCGATCCGT